CTGAGTCAGTTTCTTTTTCAACTTCCAACAAAGTCTTGAAGGTTCTCTTACAGAATGCTGAGGATCTCACAGATCTGAGAAAGCACCTCTGCCTCTCCCCTTCTGGCTCACAGGTTGGTTTGTAAAAATCCTTTATTGATACTAACTTAAAAAATACCTTTTAGCATAGATTTCCATTTAAAATATTCATATAAAATATTCATTTAAAATTTTCATCTTAGAGAAAAAAAAAGTCTGAATAGCCACTGGTGTGTTCTCTGACTACAATGACAGCAAACAAAACACTGGCAAATTACTTGAAGTATTCAATTTAAACAGGAGCCAAATATTTGGGTTGGGCAACAGACACCTAACAGCCAAGATTAACTAAGTAAAACAGAATGTAAGGTAACATAGGAATTTAGAGTACAAGTACCTACCCATGTTTCACATGTTTACATGTGTTTTTCCCCTTGACACTGTATTTCTCCCTTTCCATTATGAGTAGATTAAATTAAAAACTGTTCCTAACAGTTCATAGGAATTATTTCAGATCATAATGCATTTCAAAAGCGTCCCGGCTCCCATGCCTCAGCTAATCCCCCCTAAATGTATTTTCAGATGAGAATACCAAGACTCAGCCCCTGCATGAGGAAACAGAGGCAGAGATGAGAGGACTCAAAAATCAGAGAAGGTCCAGTGAAGATCCTGCTGCAAAGATTTGGTCAGCAGCAGAGAAACCCATTCTCAATTTTCCTCACTGTGGGAACAACCCTCTGCAGGCAATGGGGAATGACTGAAGAAATGGTTTTTCCTAAGCAGAGAAATCCATGGTGGATTTCAGATGAGCACCAGAGGACAACAGCAAAGGTCACAAAATGCACTGGTTTGGCTTCTAAAGCCTGTGACATTTCCTGTCCCATTTTATACCTCTAAATCACCTCCTCATTCCATCTTTTTGGTGGGATTTTCAAAGATTAAATATCAGGTATTAAATATGAAAACTGCATTTTTCATCTTTCTAGCCAGAAACTCACCATGACTAATATGAGCAGAATACAATAAATGAGATACTGGAAGTTCTGTAATTTGCTTTTGCATTACTGAAACTTTGGGGATAAAAACTGTGCTCAATAATCACATTGATTCTTATTTCTTATTGTTTACAGTTTTCTTTTAAGACATATAATGAATGATTCTTTGCCATTAGTAAAAGTTTTACAGGACAGGAGAGGAAAATAACTCTTTTGTGACAAAATTTTTCAACAGCAGGAAAAAAAAAAACACTTTCAAAAAGACAATTTCCTCAACTTATTATTCAAGTTTTTACAGTGGCTTAGAAACATAGAAACCAATTAGTTTTAATCTCCATTTAATTTTATGGAATGCCTCCAGAAGAGCTGTTAACACAAAGCTAAGACTCCAGTAAGGACAGTGCAAAGATGATGAGAACTCTGCTAATATTATCCTCACAGAGATAGCAGAACTGCAGTTCTTATGTGTTTCTGATAAAAAGTATTATGGGCACAATGTTCAAAACTCTCCAGAAATTGCCCTTTCAATTTACATTGGCAGCGGCTTCACGAGAGAAAATTTCTTCACTGAGGAGCAGACAGCAGAATTTAATCCAAAAAGGGGCAGAAGTACAAGGAAAAGTCACTTGCAATGCTGGAAGGCAAAAGGAAAATATAAAACCTCATTTTGAATAATCACTAAGACTAAAACACAATGTTAAGTGTCATTGCTTTTAAACCACGGGTGCTCTTATTTAGAAATATCTCTCTCCTCTTTTTAAATACCTGTTTGAATGAAAATTACCTGTCTGAAGACTGGCTGGAGTTATACTGATTATTTATCTTATTATTTATAATATTAATAATGTTATTTATAATCTTATATATATAATATATATTATATATAATACTTATTATATATTATATATAATACTTACAAGTATTATATATCTACATATCTATCTATCTATCTATCTATATCTTATATATATAAGTTATACTTATTGTTTATTATTATCAAAGCCCACTCGAAATCTCTGGTGTTTTTTGCTACCTTTGACCTGAAAGTGACCTGAGAAAGGAAATTCTCTGTGAATCACTAACAGCCCTGCACCTCCCCTGCCACTGCTGCCCAAAACCTCCAAAATGGGGTGAAAGCAGCTTTACACCTGCTTAAAGGTGGCTCAGGAACTCTCAGGAAACTGCATTTTTAAAACTCTTTATGTAATACATTTAAGAAGTGGAGATTGTTAAAAATTGATGGAGATAATCTTTAAAATTTAATACAGATACCTTACACTGGTAGCTTCAATGCTGGGGACCAAATGCTAATTAAAAAAAAAAAAAACAGAAGAGCATTTCAAATGAGACCAAAGATTAGCAGATAATATTCATGCATATTACCACATGGTAATGTCAGGGACAGATTTGTTCATAACTTCAATTTAATACTGAATTCAAGGACAGGTAATTTGTAGGCTCTTTTGCCATCACTTCTTTCAAGTAGTGCCTCGTTTTCTCCATCACTTCATACAGGCTACAAGCTTTTTGCCTGTTTTATAAATAGCCCCCTCATCCTTTCTGTGTATTTCCAGGTACCAGGGTGTCAAGCACTGGCTTCCACCAGCAGGAATTAGTCTGATATTGCTAATCTGTGGCATTAAAAATCAAACTGAGCGACAGCTCCAAGAGGAAGCCGGTTGTTAGGAAAGAAGTGCGCCGGTAATCATCATTTCTCAGAACAGGGCACAACAAACACACTGCTGTTGGATGGGAATTCCTTACAACACCCATGAACCAAGAAAAGTAAGGATGGGAAGGTGCAGCTCTCAGTTCAGGGTGGGCCCAAAGATCAGGCCCAATGATGTATGAGGTGATATTCAGCCCATATTTGTCAAATTTCATCAGTGTCACTGCCACATTCCCTTTGTAGCCCTGGTGCTGATCCTTGTTCCCTCCTTTCCACTCGTAACTCCCAGATCTGGGTGCTGAATTGTCCCATATAAATCCATATAAACCCACATAAATCCACATAAATAACTGGTCCCATGTAAATCCACACAAACCCAACATGCAGTTTTCCACTAGCACACCTCTCGGAGACACAGTCAAAGAAACCCCACTGTGGTCACCACGCCAATGTCCAAGCATGGGGGCAAACACAGAAGGGAAAATCTGACTGAAATCCTTGTCCTGAGCTGCTCAGAGCATCCACAATGAACACAGAAAACACAAAATGCAGAGCGAAGATGCTGGCAAATCCAGTGGTTCTGCCAGCTGCATTCCAGCAGGGGAAAGGTTACCCAGGAAAGAAAAACTGTGAGGTAAATACTGGCAAATTGTCGGGGGAAAAGGGAAAGTGCAAGAGCTTAATGCAGAAAAAAGGTGAAGACAAGGAAGAGTGGAAGGATGGTAAAGTGCCAAGGCATGGACTCACTCCAGGTCAGAAACAGACATGTCTGAGGCAGATCTATCAGTAGTTTCATTATAATTATTAAAATATAGAATTAATATATTATATATTTTAATATATAATATATCACTATAAATAATATATTAATTAAGATAATTATATTAATTAATATAATTATATTAATTAATATATAATTAATAAGTTTTGTGAGAATGAAAAAGGCCTTTTAAAACCGTCCGGAATGAGTGTCACACAAAACCCAGAGGTTTTTTTTTCAGGGTGAAAGCCAGTACCAAGACACCAGAATCACACGAGAATCCCCATTTTGAAGGTTTACCCAGAAAAGCTTGGCCAAGTTGTGTAAGGAAGTATCTGTATCTTCAGGAATAAGCAACTTCCCTTCTCCCCTCAAAACCATGAAAAAAACCACAACAATTTCAACTGCCATCAGGAAAGAGAGAGTTTTATACCAAACAATTGCCCTGGGCCACTCAGCTGAATTAAGTCAAAGGGACTGCTGGCAGGCTTAAAATAGGCATCTGTGTTAAGAGCTTCCCTGGCTTTGCTGCTGCAGTGGAATATAAAAAAAAAAAAAATGAAGCCGCAGATGCATAAATTTGAAATTGAAAATATCATCAATATCTCCAAGACACAAAGTATAATTAGAATTAGTAATTAATTCTGGTCTACATTGCCTTGCACGAAGCTTAAATGAGAGAGATGTCAGAGAGTCTCTTTCCCTCCCTGCTGCTTTGTATTGCATTGCTCTGACAACAGGCTCAGCGATCACCAGAAAGAGAAACGTGGGATTCTCTGCTGTCTGGAGGGGTGCACCACAGCCAGGACACCAAAAATCACCTTCAGCACATCACCAAGGGGGCTGGCACAGCGAGGGTGGCACAGGAGCAGCGCAGGAACCCCTGGATAGGTGCTCACATTATCCCTGTGGTGGCTCCCAGCAGTTTGACTTTGTGCCAAGCCTTCCTGCCCTGTGTCACAAATAACTTCCCTCCCTTTCAGGCGGTGGTTTTTAAGCAGCAGCAGCAGCAGCATTTCTTCCTGCCAGGTCCCATAAGGAAAGCAGGACACCCTCATGGCAGCAGAAATCTGCTGTAGTCACGTTTGTGATGCTCACAGATACTTTTCATTGGTTTATAATCTGTTTTATTTTAAGGGAAGGATGCCCACAATGGCTCTTCTGGGCCTGCTCCATCTGGCTGGAGTCATCTTCAGGATAATATTGTTATCTGGTCAATGGTGTTCCGAGGATGAATCTGCTCAGAACATCATTCAGAAGCAGCCCCCCTAAAACTGGTGTCAAGAAGCCCTGCAGGACTGGAAAGGACTGGCTGGGTAGGTGTGTTTCCAAATGTAGGTGAAGTTTCTGCTGCTACAGGAACTGCACACATCCCTTTGCATCTGCTGCGGAGGAGAACACGCACAAATTCAAAGTGGCTCTGCCAACACCAGTGCCACCACAACCGCAGCCACCCTGGCGTGCTTTAACGGGCATTATTTGCAAAACCACGCATTTTGACAGATCAGAGCAGCTCTCAGCCCAATCACAGCCGTGTCAAATGGAAGATATCACTTACCCTTTCAGAGCTGAAGCCTGTGGCTCAGACATGCCTGGAGCCCTGCCATGGATGGAGCCCGTCCATAGGGGCGAGTGGAGACCTCACAGAAGCCGTGGGCTCGATGCACAACTTATCTGTGAAATCCTGTGCGGCCTGCGATAGGCAAGAGATCAGGGAAGGTGTCAGAAAAGTCCTTTCTGAGGGGGAAATCCATCATCCAGCTGCCCTGCGTGCTCCCAGGTGAGTCCCACACGAGCCCCCCACACCTGGAGCTCCCAGGGCTGCACACCCCGAGGTGCCACCACAAATAAATAATTACTGCAGAAGGACGGGCTGCAATTTGCCTCATCAGCCGCGCAAACAGCAGCCGGCTCAGCCATTAGCAATTAATTAAAGATCAATGGCATGTAAAACCCCAGGGAGCACACGTGCAATTAGCAAATGTATTTAAAGCAAGCCACAAACCCGCAAGTTTTTTTGTCTGACACTACTCCCCAAGACCATTCTCGACGGTTTTTTCGTTAAAAACCTCATCCCACTCCCTTTTACAAGCCAAAGGGGCTGTGGGAGGGTTACCCACAGAGTTCCACTTGGCAAAGCACATTTCCAGCATCCTGCACTGGGTCCAAAGCCCATAGACATGAGTCATCCTCAGTGAGAGTTTTCCTGTTTATTCCAACGGACCTTGGATGGCTTGTAAGCATCATTGCCAAAACAAGTGATCTCTGATAGACAAATTAATTCATTTAGATGCTCTGCTTTCACCGGTTTGATGGCTCAGGAATGCCAAAGTTGAGGCAGTACTTGGTAAAACATCCTGCACGCACCGCCAGCAGCCCCAGAGGGGGCAACACAGGGTTAAATTTAAGTTTAAACAATTGCTTTGAAATTTAAACTTTGCTTTGAATTGCGTCGAGAGGTAAACTCCTCTGACCTGGGCAGGTACATTACTGGGGAGTTTCGTAACCCCTTATATATCTGCAAAGAGCCCTATGAGACCCGGCAGTTAAAAGGAAAAAAAGAATTAAAAAAAATTATAAAATAAAAAGGCAAAAGGATTTATAGTTCCTAGGCTGAATCCCAGAAATGGCTACAGTTTGTCACAGCCTCTGGAACAGACAGAAACTGAATTTCTTTCCTCCCCGAAGTGCCGAAGGTAATTCTGCCTGAAAGAGCCTCCAGCCGGATCGCTCCACGCTGGGCATTACCACTCTCCACACGGATTTCCTTCCTTGTCTTTAACGAAAGAGTCAAACCCCAAACCCCAGCTGGGCACCTGGCGACGATGACCATAACATTAGGAAGGAGAAGAAGAAGAAGGAGAAGAAAGAAGCAGCGATTTCCCGCCGCACCGACAACGCGAGGAGCGCGGATTCCCATCCCGGTGCCGCACTCACCTCCCGCTCCCGGACCCTCCGCCGCCCTTCCAAACACGGGGATGGAGCGGCCGAACCACGGCACAGAGCCAGGAGCAGCAGCTGCGGCCGCAGGACCTCTCTCCATCAACCCCTCCTCCTCCTCTTCCTCCTCCTCCTCCTCCTCCTCCTCCCCGGCGGTGCCCGCGGAGCAGCAGCGACACAAAGGGAGCGCCCGGGTTAGCGACAGCGCCGTGCCAGCCGCGAACAGCGCTGGGAATCAGGGAATTCCATCTTGGCGTCTTGTTCTCCTGTCTTTTTTTCCTGATCAAAAAGCCTCACAAGCACCGTGTGTCCAGGGTCCGGGAGGGGGAGAAGCTTTCCCGAAGCTGCCTCAGCGCTGGAAGGTCCAGAGCTGCTGAGACTCAGTTGAAGATGCATCCAAAAATGATGCAGCCCCAAGTTCCAAAGAAAAGCCCCCCAGGCTAATGTTTTTCCTTGCCCAACCACGGTTCTCCATTCCACTGCCTCTGTCACACTTGCTTTGTTCAGAAATGAAAGGACTGTTGCAGGGCTGAGACGCTAGTTCATGAAATTGCTGCGTTCCTTGAATGCAGCTGTTAAAGCAGCAAGATGCACTAAAATTTTACCAGAAGGCAAACCACAGGGGCAGGAAGGAGCTGCCCTCGGTTGGCTTTCCAAAGACATGCCCACCAATATTTGCACCTGCATGTTCACCCCCAGCAACACAGCTGCACCTGCAGGTGGAGATGGAAACAGCACACAGGTGATACCTGTGTGTATTGAAATAAAAAAGGAGAGCCTGGCATGCTCAAGTTACTCAGCCCATCTCAGCAGGAAAGGCAAATTTAGCAGAAATTTAGGTTTTAATGCAGTGGGGACATCAGTGAGGTCTCTTGGATGCCAGCCTTGCAAACAGATGTGCAGCCCCAGCTCCGGGCACCTCGAGGATGCTGGAGCAGTGGATGTCTCACCTCCTGGAGAAGCAGCTCGAGTTGGTGCTGGTGTACAAATCAGGCCCGAGTGTGGTTTGGTGGTTTGGTTCACTGTGCTTTGCTACACTGGGTGGAGAGGAAGGTGACACCTTTCTGGGGGCAGATCTCCAGGGAATGTTCAGGGAATGTCATACTGAAGAAAGAAGCACCAACCCAATTCAAAACTAAACAAAAACCAAAACCCAAAACCAAAACAACAAAACCAAACATTTAAAAAACCAACAACAACAACCACAAAAAAAAAAACCAAAAAAACCCCAAACAAACAACCCTCCCAAAAACCACAAACAAACAATCAAAAAACCCCAAAAAACCAAAACCAACCAAACAAAAAAATGCAGCACCAAAGCCCTCAAGAAAAAACCCCATCTGTATCACCTTGTATGGGTTCCTGGGTTAAATATTCCTGGGAAGGACTCAGGAAGGGGAGAAAAGAAGGGAAAGGATTGGACTGACTCAGGATTATGTGGTGTAAGTCTCATTTCTTTATGTGGCAGGCTAAAACTACCTGGGCTGTAGCAAGACCCTGAATTTTGCACACCCTGGCCTTGCGTCTAGGTGCATTCCAGCAATCCATATCACGCATTCCACATCTTCTGCCTTCCCTCCAGGAGAAGGGAGTGGATGCAGGCAGTGTCTCATTTCAGTGAGATCTGTGCATGACTGGCAGGGATTTAATTTTTATCCTTGTAATCAACCATATGCGCCCCAGAAGGCAGCACTGAGGGAAAATGAGGAAGGTCTGGAGTGCCCTCAGTCCCTGCAGCGCATTCCATGGACAAGCAAAGAGTGTTTTTCTCCTGCAGGAACTCCTTCTACCCTTTGGACGGCCCGTTCATATGTCATTTATCTCTGGAAGATCCAGACCAAGAACCAGAATTTGATCTCAAATGCTACAAGAGGCGAGGGCAGAGGACAGAGAATAAATTTGTTGTTCTTACCATGATTTGTTTGCCTAAGCAGCTCAAGCTATTATTCAGATGGAGTTCCCTAACTGGAGGAAACTGTTCTGTTCTCACAGTTCCAGTCATGACTTTCAAAAAACTCAGGCTTGGGTCTACAAGGCAAAGCAGTTTCACAGGAATGGGATGGAGCCTTCCAGGGTATGATGGAAAAGGAGATGGTTTTGGTAGACTGTAAAGAAAAACTGCCTGGAAAGTGATATTGCCATTGAAATTTAAAAAAAAAAAAAAAAAGAAAAAGGAAAAAAGAAAAAAAGATCTTGTAAACACTTTAAACACTTGCACACTGGTCTTTGTTTACTTCCACATGTAGTTAATCCAGATGGCCATGTGATTACAGCTAAATATGATATTATGTACCACAGGGCACTTTGGACAGGGAGACGTTGTGCCTGGAGTGCTGTGCCTAAAAGAAAAGGAGACATTTTCTTCCATGTCTTGTGTACAATTTAAAGACACAAAGAAACAGTGAGAGAAGCAGAACACAGAAGAAAGTATGCCCAGTGGGTGTTTGGCTTTTTATAGTTACTGGAAGAAGACGGGACACTGTCTGTGTGCTTTTTAATTGGCCAGAAATAGGAAATGAATCCATCTTGTATTCATTCTCCTTTACTACAGAGTTAGTGCATTACAAGGTTTTGCACTCCTGCCAATACTCACTGCCAGAAGAGTAAATTGCCAGTTTTCACAAAGTTGCACATTGCTCCATAAATGTATATTCAGCAGGGGCAAATACCTTCTCCTTTTAATATCTGTGTTATACTTCATAGATTATCATTAGAGAGATGCATGTGCTGGGAGACAGCTCCATTTCTTACACTCAAGGAGAAGGAGAAAAAATATCTCAAATTTATATAGGATGCATCCTTTCCTGCTTTTGGAAAATGAAGGTGAGCCTGTGCCACCCACACTCCATGTTGACACATTCCCACCTCCCATCCCTGTGTCCAAGCTGATGAAAAGAGGGTTTCCACTCTCCTAAAAGTGCAGAACAGTAAAGCCACTGGAAGGTTTTTGGCAGCACAGCCCTGATGGAAAAGCTCAATCTCACTCATAAAAGCTATGCAATGGACAAAAGCTGTTACGGAAATCCTGTTATCATTCACTTCACAAAATAAATGGGGGGAAAAGTATCTGGCAGTGGCTACAGAGGAAACTCTCCACAGTCTGACACAAAAAGGAACAAGGGATTCATCAACTCTAAAAAGATTAAGAAGTTTGGTTTCAGCTTCCTCTTTTTTTTTATTTTTTCCTTCCCAAAACAGACCTTACTAAAATAAAACAAAGGCAAAGAGCTCTCTGAGAGCCCTGCCAGTCCCTGTCAGTTATGTATTTTGGGAAGTGGGGTGAGTCCACATGAATTCTGTTGTCCCTACCTTTGAGATAATGCTGTTGCATTTCAGGAGAGCACTTGAGCTATGGTTGACAAGTGCTCCATGCAGTTCTCTTATCACAAAAACCTCAGTAAGCAAAAAACCTGGGCCCTCTGAAACCATCTCAAATCACAGAAGAGAGGCAAGTGGCACTTGCTGATGCAGAGATAATTCAGATTTTTTATTTAACAGTAACTCGTGAAACAGTCAGAATTTTGACAGAATGTAGCATCATGAACTGCAGAAAGTGTAGAAGTTTTTGTCTCTAGAGCCCTGTTCTTCTGATAATGGTGATGAAAAACTCTGTGGATCCATGATCTGGCTGAACTTACCTCAAGTTCTCTGCTATAAAAATGGCACAGTTCTCCCTCCTGGGAAACCTTGGATAGTTTCAGACCCGAGCCTGAGTGGACTGAAGCTGCTAAACTGGAGAAAAGTTTTAATTTCTTACTCACTCCTCCCCAGAAATTTTTAATCTTGGGGATTACATCAAAACTAGATTGCAAATAATCTGTCAAATGCTAAAGACACTGCAGGGTGAGGCCATGAAGCCCATTGTCCCATCAGCTGACTTTTCATTAAACCATACTCCAAAACTTAGAGCCCTTCTTGAATCCTGCTGTATTTCAGTTTGCTGTTCCAGCCAGGCATTGCATCTGGATTCTTCCCTCTGTGAAGACACATCTGTCAAGTGAACCCGCTTAAATTCCTAGTGAGAAGAAAAGACTGAGTATCGCCATAAGAAGAACAAAAATGCAGCAGGTAGGGATTCATTTCTGTGTTAAAGAATCTATTGAGTACATCAAAAATACCAGCAACCTTCTGTAGTCTGTTACAGATTATTTAACCTAAAATGATTGTCTTTTCCTGAATCTGTCATTCTCTACTTCCTGAAAATATGTTTAACTTGGGCATTCTGTCTCCTTCACAGGCCTGCATTGCCTATGTAACTAATGTAACTGCAGCAATCCTTGGAAAAAATGGCTTTCTTGCCACATGACAAATGGATTTGCAGCTGTGTGGCAGACAGAACTGAAATGTGAAAAATAAACGATTCAGTGTGAGGTGTTAGCAATAACTGTATCAAATTGTGATGATCATTTTACAGATACAATTCCAGTGAGAGTGTGTGGTCTTTAATCAAGTGCCCTTTTAACTTAACAGTAAATGCCCTATTTTCTAATTTGAATTGTCATTCAGGATGGGCTCCTGGACTTGTTCAAGGAATTCTCCTACACATCTAATCTCCATCTACACGTGCTAATCATCTTTTAAACACTGATCCTGGCTGGATGGCACACACCCACAAAAGTCACCCCATCAGTCCCTTCACCAGCTGGGCAGAGGAGGGAAAATACAATAAAAGGCTCCTGGGTTGAGATGAGAACACAAAGAGAAGAGACTTAGGGAAATTAGTTTATTACCAATCAAATCACAGTAGGATAAAGACAAAGAAACGAAATCTTTAAAACTCCTTTATCCCACCCTTCCCTTCTTCCAAAGCTTAACTCCACTCTCAATTTTCTCTTCCTCCTTCCCCTCAGTGGTTCAGGGAGATGGAGAACAGGGTTTGTGGTCCTTTTATTAAACATTCTCTCCTTCCTCCTCCTCACCACTGACCATCTCAGATGTGGCCAGAGGATCCATCCTGGAGCTGGCTGGCTCAGCAGGACACAGGGGAAGCTTCCAGCAGCTTCTCAGAGAAACCACCCCTGTACCACCACCCAAACCTGGCCATGCCAGCCCCACACAAACAGAGTTCACTTCATCTG